TTTCTCTTGACAAAAGTCATTTCTCAGCTCTTGCAATGAAAATTGTGGGAGTGATTCTTTGTCTGTCTCCCTTGGAAGTGCTGGTGGGGCACTGCTAGTGGGGTGCCTGTGAAAGGCACTGGGAGGAACAGGCACAGGCATCCAGTGCAGGCAGCACCAGAGTCCAGCTTCCAAAAGGCAGAAGTCCACTTGCTGGAAACAAAAAGCTGCCTCAGGAGTGAGCTAACACTCAGTCACAAGAAAAGCATCTGTATTCATTTCAGAGAGACGGTTGTTTGGAAGAAGTATTTCCTAAGACCCAACTAGGCTAGTTAGTTTGTAATCATTTGGGTTTAAATAATTCAAAAGCTGGTGCAGAACTGAATTAGTAAATAGTCGAAACGACATGGCTTTATGGCAAACTTTATCAAAGAAACCTAATTTCCCTCTCTGATTATATTACGTGTCTGGTTGACAAAAACGATTGTATAAAATTAGTGCATTTAGACTTTTGTAAGGTGTTTGACTTGGTGCTGAATAACATGCTGATTAAACATTAGCACTATTCAATGACATTAGAATATACATTAAATGGATTAAGAGGTGTCTGACAGAGCTTAACAAGTAGTTCTCAATGGAGAACTGGCACTGAATGGATCTGTGGTTTCTGGGGAAGATGAAAGTGAAGTCAGAGTACCAAAGCTCTCCAGTGTTTGTGTCGGTGATCCATGGCAAAACACAAGAGGAAAACATTTGCTAAGCACAAAGATCAAGAAAGTGATATGCTGAGAAGAGGAAGGGAGAATGGCACTGAGGAACCTGAATCTTTTGATAAAGATGATGAGGAATCCATCAAACTAGATGTTGGTCTGCCCAAGGACACAGCCCTACATTTACGAGTAATGCCCATGGGAAGAAAGGTGCACTGAAAAGCCCTTCCTTGTCCATCAACACCACGTGATGGACTAGCAAAAGGAGTTTGTGTGGCCTTTAAATATATGATCGGTCAAGTAATGAAAAACAGGAAAGAGGTAATTTTCCTTCTGTGTGCAATATTGTTAAAACCGGGTCTGAAATGGCAACAGGCTGTGTTGAAATTTAGGAAGGATATGGAAAAGCTAGAGAATGTGTAGGAAAAATGGCTGAAATTAAATGGCAGTCAGAGGACATATCTGATAATAGGAGACCTGAAAATCTCAGTGTATTTGTTTGACCAAAATACGCTTAAGGTGACTTTTTTCCTGTATGAGTCTGTTTCTGGGGGAAAAATATGATATCCTAAGAGACTCTCTACTTTATCAAACAGAATTGGAAGGGTCAGTGTTTGAAAGCTGAAGGATGTAATAAAATGAGGTGTGGTTGTGGTGGTTTTTGTTTGTTTGTTTGTAGCTTGAAGCTGATTTTGGTTGTTGGAGCAAATTCTCAGAACAAAAAAAGGGATCCTCTGCTTTTTGATGGCTTCAGAGTGAGACTCTGCTTTTCTCTGCTGTTGACTACCTTCAGCCTTATGGCTGTTTATGATCAGAGACAGCCAGGAGAAATGCAAAGGTTTGTTACAAGGTCAAGTGTAGATTTAATGATTCTTCCCGACCTTCAGCCTGATGAAGTTATAATTGCATAAGAACATGTTGGTTCTAAACATGATGTACCCTGTTTTCAAAAGGAAAAAAGCCCTACCAAGGTTATCAGCTCCATTCCGTGCGACAGTTGTTGCTCATACATTTTTAACATTTTTAACATTTTTATATGGAAAACTCATTGACATTTTGCTTGGAAACACATGGTGCAGCTCAGCAGTGTAGTGCATTTCTTCCCAAAGCCGCACCATCTGGATGCGGACAGATCAGAGCTGCCCCAGAGCCCTTCTCCATCCAGCTGCAGGGATTTGAGGGCCTGAGTAGTTCCACCACCAGCAGTGTGCTTTGTGCTGAGCTCATGCTGAGGCTGCCCCAGCTGGTTCACCATGGGATGGGCTCCCTGCTCTTTTTGGGTTGTAGCTGCCTGTGAGATGTTCCTATGTGGCTAGAGCTCAGCTCTGTGCTCACAATATCAGCAGTGACAGGCAGAGGTATGGCAGAAGGAAGAGATTGATGAAGAAAACCTGATTCTAGCATCAGATTTTGTGGATTTAGATGCAAAAGAACAGCTACAGTTATGAAAAACGTCAAGAAGTGTTTCCCATTAGGGAGCAGTCAGTGAATTCATACCATTCCCACTGCCTCAGCCAGGCTTTCCCAGGGCCCTCCTTAAACCAGAGCAGTCATCTTGTGCTGGGTCTGTGCACAGGGACGAACATCTTCCTGCTCCTCAGCTATGAACTGAGCACAAACATGCTTTGTTAAAATAATCCCCATTTGGGTACAAATTCTGCACAGTTCTCATGCCTACAGTCTGCCTATCACCTGGTCAGTTGAGGAGTGCCACTTTCTCATGGTTAAAGCTGCCCCCAGGTGAAATTAGGCTGAGATTGTCTCACCTCTGGTCTCAGTGCAGGGTGTTTGTTACGGATTTCCCCTCACACTGTTACTGTACTGTTTTATCCATTTCTAGCAACTAAATCTCAAATGCACCCAAGCGCCACGGAGCTGGCAGTGACCTCACAGACCTCCGTTACTCCAATTATGGGCAGCAACCAAGATGTGCTCTGAGGCCATGGAGTCTAAGTGGAAAGGAGGGAGCATTGCAGGAGAGCCTTTAAATTCTGAAGCGAAACTATAATTAGCTGTAATCGCACCCAGAGTAACTTCACTGCTATAATTCTCAGCAGGAAAACAATTACACTGCAGCAGTATAACCCGACAGACACGCTGTAAATACAAAACATCCTTTGGAAATATATGCTCCATATTCTAAATACATTTAGAATTAAGGCAAACAATTCTTTTCTAATTGGGATTCGAGGCAGACGTGCTGATGTGGGTTGGATTTTTTTTTCTTTCTGTTCCTCGTTTTTTGCTTCATGGATATAGAGAGCCATGGTGTTAGGTGATATGTTGGTGGCATGCCTAGGCTGTGGTTGGAGGGGTGGTGAGGAGAGCTGAGCCTTGTGCTTGGGTTGTAGTTCACTGCATGGGTTGTTTCTGTCCCTTGAGATGGTCACGGTGCCCAGGCAGCTGTCTGGATGGGTCGCAGGACTCATGAATCACAAAGCCAGAGCTTCTCCTGCTTGTGTTTGGGGATGCAGCAGCCCTGAGGAGCGGGAAGGCTGCAGCTGATTCAGTGCCCTCGGAGCGATGCGGTCACTAGGGGGGAATAGAGCACCGCAGAGCGCAGGGCTGCCTGAACTGCGGAGCTTCAGGGGCTGCTGCCCCACATCCCACGGCTCGGCTGGGCCCCCCCGAAACTGCAGATGCAGCTGGGAATAGAGAGGAATGGACCCCGGGATTTCACTTTTATTTGGTGGAGAAATGCTCAGAGTTGATGTTGGCAGATGGTCATTCTGAGTGGTGAGATGTTGATTTACCAGGGGTTATTTTGAATTGCAGGGCTTGAAATACATTTCTAAATTGTTTTTGGAGCCTAGAACACGTGCAAGGACAAATTATTAAGAGCTTCATTTGGCTCTTGGAGGGTTTTATATGGCACACAATCTAAGCTGCTGAAAGAGGGAAAACTTGACATTTGTTGCTGTCTAACCCAGCTCCTCTTGGAGAAAGAACCAGACAGGCTGGGACAGTTCCTTGGGTTCTACCATTCCTCCTCCAGATCAACAGAAGATGATAGAGAGGGGAACAAAAAAGAAAGCAACAAAACAAAACGTAACATAACAACACAACAGATCATCTCTACAGAAATGTATTGGAAAATCTACAGAGCTCTCTGGGAACAGAAGTATCATATATTTAAAAATCATTCTAATGGGATACAATCAATACAATCATTTTATAAACCTACAGGAAGTTTTTCATTATCCATTGAATACTTTGGATTTTTTTCTGTATGGGTGACATATATGCTTACATAGTTATATCAGTAATCTAAAGGATACAGCTTCCTACATTGCACTTATTTTGCCATGACAGTTAAAACTGTTTTCAGAGGTTTCTGTAAATGTTTGTCCTATTTCCACTCATATTGGAGGACATTTTTCCATTGTCCTTACTAAGAGTGACTAAGATGTAGAGAGTGAGGACAGTAGGGTAAGCTAAGGGCAAGAATGGTGAGTGCCATCATGAACTGATATACATATTATATATTACAGAAATAACACAAAATTCACATTTTGGAAAAAAAAATATAAAAAGAGAGTAATAAGAAAGAAAGAAAATACAGATCTTCCAGGGATCAAAAGCCAGACCTAGCAGCTATTTATTGCAGCTCCTAAAAGTTTTGAAGTGCAGCCTGTAAGGATGGCTTGGGGGGACAGCTAAATCAGACTCCCAGTGCAGAACAGGGGGCTGTTACCTGTGTGTTTGTCACTGCAAGGCAGGGCTGGGAAGCAAACAAAGGGGAGTACAGCCGTTGTACAACCACTGAGCTACCTCTGCCTTCTCCCTGAAGGTTGGTCTGAGGAACATGTGGTTGGTCTCACTTCTCTGTGCCATTGGGCTGAGTGTCCCCTAGACATGCCTATTTCCCAAGCTTGTTCTTTCGTACAGCACGTGCAAGACAGGATCAAGATGGAGCTTCACTGAATTTCCATTCTTGTTTTCTCAGAAAACAAGAGTTTGCATGTACTAGAGCAGGAGAGTTCAGGAACACGGTCACTCTGAAGATGAATGTTACATGTGTAAGTGCATGTATATGCATATATGTATATGTATATCCTCATGTCACCATTCTAAATAAGAATATTTCTGCTATAGTTATTGCCTCTTAGAGCTTCTGGTCTGAAGGGAACGTGAATTGGTGATCAGATGTAATCACCTTGCATGGATTTTATATGCTTCAAACACGGGGAGGCATAAATGCAAGGGGTATGGAGGAAAAGAAGCAACTGTATTTCTGCTTTGCCTATCTTTATCGCGTGAGCGCGACACAGGGTGACTCACCAGCAGCAGGTGGCCTGCAGTTCTGCTGGGCAGATCAGCGGTGGCTGGCAGGGGGCTGCTGGCCCTATATGGCAGCCCAGAGGGGAACTAAAAATAGTTTGCAGACTTCCAGCGTAGTAAAAGCATTTGTGGGCTTGGAGTGGAGTCTGCTTCTGAAGGTAAGAATCGGAGCTGGTCTATTTCATCTGCCATTTATGCTTGGTTTGTTTTTTTTTCTCCTTTCTTTTTCCTGCATGAAGCTTGCCTTGGCAGCGCATCTGCAAGTGTTATCTGGCAGAAGGCCTGGAGTCGGGAATTGTAAACAGTTACTTTCTCTGTTTGTAGAAACAGGGCGAGGAGTGGCCAGCTAACGGAAATCAGTGGGACTGAGGGCATTTGCAGCTGAGGAGGCATGCAGAGGGATGTGGTGACCCGCAGGACAGCTCTGCGTGCTCTGTGCTGAGTTACCTGCCGAGGCGCAGCCCTGCTGCCCAGAGCTTTGCAGCCATGCTGGGAGCTGCCCTGGCTGCTTGTGTTCGTTAGGCCTGCCCCTGACGAGGGAAAGCAGCAATCTCATTTTTGCTTTGTGATGCCGGGTCGGCTTCTGATAAGGTCAGCGCCAACAGCCAAATGGATGTTAATTTGAGAGGGAAAAGGACTGAACCCAAATTAATATAGGCTTGCCTGTGTAATTATCGTTATTGGCTGGTGGGGAAGGAAGACCTTGTTCACTCCGTGCGTTTCTGTGGCTGCCAGGCTGTCATGCACCAATCTGGGAGAGGGGGACAGGAGTGCTGCATTCATCCAAGAGGGACTCTAATTCCCTGTCATCCCCAGATGATGATATCCTGCTTACTTCAGACCACAGGCAGTGGAGATGCACGCACCATTACGATGGGGAGGATTTAGCTGCAGGTGCCTGTGGAGAAACTTCTCCCATTGAATCCAGAGTTCAAAATCCTGCAAGCAGGAACTGCAAGCAGTTCTCTGCAGGCAACTAGAGAGAGGAGCATATGGTTTTAGTTAGGGTTCAGTGTTGTGTTCCCAGGCTGGTGAAAAGAGTCAAAGTTGGAGAAAATGACTGTATGCTTGAAGGCTGGGCAGCCTTGCTAAGTGCTAAACTAAGGAGAAATCCTATTTGGCAGCAGAGAGAATCTGCTGGGGTTGGCAGTCTGAAACTGCAGTACGATAATTGTTTTCTTCTCCAATAAGCCAATGCATTGATTGGGGTAAGCAGGAAGGATCAGTCCCAGTGGAGCTCTGCAGGGTGTTGTTACCACGCTGCTTACTTCCCATGGTCACAGCTGATCTTCATGTGCTTCCCTCTGGTGAGCAAACTGGATGTGACAGAAGACAATGTAATTTAGTTTTTTGCCTCTTTCAGAAAATGAATTGCTACATATGATCTCATATGCTCACCCTTGCATATTTATGGGGAGTCCCCAAATCTAATTTTCATTGTGCCTGCCCCTGGTTAGCACAAACTTAATTTTGCAGCTTCTAAACAAATTCTTCTGACAAAATAACATCGTGGCACATTGAAACAGAGCAGATATTTTAATACAAGCATGCTGCATAATCAGTTCTTCCTAAAAGCACATACAAATATTATCTTCACAGTAGCTAAGTGATCAATCAGTTAGTTGCAAGGTAGGGTAGCATGTGAGTTTGCAGAGTTTGTTCCCCAACCTTTACATGCTCTCCAATGCTCTTGAATTGACATTTGCTACGAGAGGGTGCACACAAGTGATTTGCAATAGAGAGGGCCCTAGCTTGTTTACTTGTCTTAATAACTCGTGACAAGGACACCGAGGTCCAAACCGTGCCAGGCACGCTCATAGGAAGGAGGCAACCACAGATGCTGTCAGTAATCTTACTGGGAAGATTACAGCAGTTCTTTGGGCTGGTCCTCTTTAGCTGGCCATCTGCTTTGCATTCCCTGGTGGCACTTGGGTTTGGATCTCCAGTTTGTTTGTCATTTCAGTCTCCCACTTTATTATTTCCAGAGCCAAGTGAACTGCTGCCAATTCCAATGCAATGAGATTGCATTGTGAGCTTTGCGACATGGTATACTTTTTTTTTTATCTTCAAGGCTCAGCTCCTGGAATTAGTTGATTATGTTAGAATCCCAGCATTCATTAAAAAGGAAGGGAAAAAAAATATATAGGGTGGATCTCTGCTCCTCATGAACTGAGAAAAAAGCTTGTGAGAAGATCCCTGCGGACAGTAACTCAAACTAAATAAAAAGAGGCTTTTTTTCCTTTCAGTTCCCCCTCCCCCCCCCCCCTTCACCCCTAGTATCAGCCTCTTTTATAGACAATCATCCTGTTTCTGAGTCTCTCAGTCATGGTTTTTGAATGCTGGGTGCTGGCAAACCTGAGCAGCAGCTGTTCCTTCCTAAAGGCAGGGAAAATGAGTAGAGCCATCCCTACCAGGACAAGTGATTTCTCTCAGCCTGCTCTGCCTTTCCTTCTGTCCCCTGGCCACACAGCCACATGCAGCCATGGCAGGAGCATGAGCCCACTCCCACAGCTCTGAGGACGACCCAGATCACAGAAATCCAGTGAGAAATGGGAGGACAGGAATCTGTGTTAAGCAGAACTGTGATTCCCTTGAGGTCAGGAGCAGCAGCTGCTGCTATCACTGACCTCATAACTTTAAATACTCTTGGCTAAGGCGGTATGGCATTTGTGTTTGTGGCACGTCTGAGCTGAGGGCAGGACTTGCCCAGTTTTGGGGTGGAGGCTGTCCCTGTTTCCCCAGCTTGAGGCTATGTCTGGGTACAATTAATAGATCTGGGGAGTATTGTTTATACTTCAGTTTGCCTTAGGTTCGCTTCCTCTTTTATTTTTCAGTGGGAAAAGAGATGACATTGAAGACTGGTTTGAACAAAATATGTTTGCTGGCCTGGATTTTTCATCACTCTTGGCTTGGGCCTTAGGGAAACATATTTGCTTTTATTGCTTTTTCCTGTAACTAAGTGGAATTAGCATTCCCTGCCATTGCTGGCCAGCAGAATCCAGTAATTTTAAAATATATATATATATTTATGAACATATCTTGCATATATTGCTGAATTCTTCAGCAATAGTCATACAGGCATACCTCTGACATTGCAAGGCTGAGCAATGTCTCCATGTAGCTTACAAGTAGAAGTGCATGCACAGAGGTGTGTGTACAGGGCAGAACTTAGTGCACTTTCCATGCATTGTGGTCTGATTTTTGAGTGGTCCTGTGCAGAGCCAGCAGTTGGACTCAATGATCCATATGGGCCATTTCCAACTTAGGATATTCTATCATTCTATGAATTAATCTGAGGGGGCTTCGTACTTAACTGGGGCTGTTTTCCCGAGGGTGATGCTGCCAATGATTAACTTGAAGTTCCAGATGTAACAATTCAAATTGACAGAAGCAGTCTTTCTGATTTGTGCATATCTACTGCTGCTTAAGGTGTTCCATGGTTTATCAGTGATCTGGCTGCAATCTGGAGATTGGGAAGGAGACTTAAAACAGGGTAACATCTTCAGCTTAGGTTTTGATTTTTTGCTTTAGCCTTGCTTAACGTCATTCTGCTGGCATTGATTTTACAGACCTCTGATGAACCCATCCGTGGAAGTGCTCAGAGTCAGGCTGGATGGGACCCTGGGCAGTCTGAGCTGGTGGGGGACAACCAGTCCATGGCAGTGGTTGGGGCTCAATGATCTTTAAGGTCCCTTCCAACCTAAGCCATTTTGTGATTCTGTCAACCAAATCTTGGCTCTTTACTTTAGACAGTAGTGAATATCAATCAGTAGCACTGAGTGTATTGTGAACTTTGATCTTTAGCTCCAGAACATGAGAAAAAGCATTCACTGGTCTTATAAAACCAAACCATTTGTATACAGTGGCAAAATGATCACAGAATCACAGAATCAACATCTTAAGGTGATAACAGTGTTTCCATTGGTCCCATCTGTAATGAATGAAACTCCAACAGGGGGAATTGTGAAGCCTGTTGGTACCGAAGCTTTTGTAGCAGCGCTGGGAGCTCAGTGCAGGCTGCCTCAGGGATGCCATGCACTTTACACGTTAGGTGTTCTGGGAACTGCAGACCCAGCGCTGGGCTGGGGGCTTAAGTGAGCAACGAACCGTGCTTCCTTCATTTGTGCTGGATCCTTCGGAATTGATTTATCCAAAACCTTCAAGGGTGGAGTGGTGGGGGGGGGCGGGGGAGGAGGGGAGGGGGGTTGGGAGGGAGGATGCCCATGGAGGTGCCCTCCGGTGGCAGCCACGCCGGGTCGGGGCTGGTGCAGGGGGAAGATGTGGAGCGATGCACACCGCTGCGTGCAGTCTGCTCCCCCGGGGCCATCTGCTAACCACAGCCCCTGGCCGTCTCCTCCGAGAGAGGCTGCTGGCGGCTGGCCGCGGTCGGATCTGCTAAAAGCTTGTGGAAGGGAGAGGGCTGAGGGAAAGGAGGAGGGGGAAAAAAGGGGGGAATGGGGGAAGGAGGAAGGGAGGAGAAGAAATGAGGGGGAAAGGGAGACGGGAAAAGGGGGATGGGAAAATGGGAGGGAATGAAAAAAAGGGGGAAGGGATAAATGGGGAGACGGATGAAAAGGGAAAAAACGAGGGGAGTGGAAGAAAAGTGGGGCGAAGGAGACTAAAACGGGAGAAAAGAAAGGAAGGCATAAAAGGGAGAAAGGAAAGGGGAGAAACATCAGGAGCGCTCCCGAGGGGGCGGGCGCGGCGGAGCGGAGCGGGTGGGGCGAGGCGGGAGGGAGGGGAGGGGAAGGGAAGGGAGGCCGCGGGAACCGGGCCCGCCTCCGACGCCGCTGCCCCCCCCAACCGGGGCCGGGGCGCCACGGCCGCGTGTCGGAGGCGGCGCGGCTGAGCGCCGCGGCGTGAGGCAGCGCCGCGCCCCCGCTGCCGGAGGAGCCGCTCCGCCGCCGGCCCCCGCGCTCCCGCCCCCGGCGGCGGCCCCAGCGGCGATGTCCTGAGGGGCCGAGCCGACCCCCCCACCCCCGCCCCTTCGGCCGCCCGGCGTCCAGGTGAGTGCAGCGCCCGGAGGGGGACGGCCGGGCTGCGCCCTGCCCTATCCGCGGCCAGGCAGCCTCGCACTTGGCGGAGTTTCGGGCTTCGGCCCCGGCTGCCCTTCGCGGGGACCCGTCGGGTCCGCCGCCGAGCCGGGGTAGCTCTGCCC